ATGGACTTACTTCACTAAGTCATTTATTTACTTTATAACAGTAAATAAATATTGGCTCTGCATATCGGTTATCGGGCACATAAACATGCAAATAATTGGTATCGGTTATAAAATATCAATATCGGTCGATCACTAATAGGAAACCATATAACAAATATTGTTTCTGCATTCCCTTTTTCTTCAAAATAATTTAGTTGAGTAACTTAATGTTGAGGTCATTCATTTCTTCTACTCATAAATTGTTCCAGAAGAAGCCAAAGCCTCAATTTTTGCATGTCACCAAACAACACACAGACTTGAGATTGGATGGGATGGGAACTATATTGTGAAAAAGTTTTAAACAAACCGCAAACATCTTATATTTTAGCATCTTCAAAGTATCCACCCTTTTTGTAATTGTTTACAAGCCTAATTGAATGCATAAACTTTTAGAGTCAGGACTATATACATATTGGTAGCATACAACCTTGCAACAACTTTTTGTCTAACTGTAAATCTCTTCTTTTATAGACAAAGCTATGACATTCACATTACTGCTTTGGTTGATCAGTCTGGATTTAAATCTGGGAACTCACTGGATTTGAAAAATAATTTTTTTCGGTAAGCACCAGCATTTTAGCCACTTGTACCCGTGATCTCGTTCTTTTGGCCATTACCCAGGGCTCATGTCCACAGGTGACTGCATTACTGCTACTGCTGCTCCAATCCGCCTGTTGATCTCATGCTCCAACCTACCCTCACTCATGAACAAGCCCCCGAGGTACTTGAACTCACCTACTTGGGGAAGCAACTCGCTCCCTACCTGGAGCAGTCAATCCACCATTATCCGTCTGAGAACCATGGCTTCAGATTTGGAGGTGCTGATCCTCATTCCTGCTGCTTTACACTCAATGTTCAATGTTCAATTTATTTATAAAGCACATTTAAAACAACTTTAGTTGACCAAAGTGCTGTACATAAAGTGGACACAAACCCCCCAAGATACCACCCCAAGACCCCCAAATGGACACCTTCAACCCCTCGGCTTTACCTTGAGATCCTGTTCATGAATATCACAAACAGGATTGGTGACAACAAACAGCCCTGGCGGAGTCCAGCACTCACTGGAAACAAGTTTGACTGCTGAGAACGCGAACACAGCTTTCACCTCGGCTGTATAGAGATCGGATAACATGCATTAGTGACCCTGGCACCCCATACTCCTGGAGCGCCACCCACAAGTGATCCTGGGGAACACGGTCATAAGCCTCTACAAATCCAAAGAACACTTGTAGATTGGATAAACAAACTCCCATGCCCCCTCCAGGATTCTTGCCAGGGTAAAAAGCTGGTCCAGTGTTCCACGTCAAATTTAATCAAAGTAATCCACCCGACTCCAGTCCATCAATTAACATCTTGTGATTTGCTTTTCATGATCATTGCAATTCTGCTAATTAATACAACATCTTATGGGCTGTTATTATTTTATTAAATTAATTTTTTACATCAGACCCCCAAGACACAATTTGCCTGGTGATTTCCCAAACCTCAGAATGGACCCCTGCAAGAGAAAATGGAAGGAAAGAAAAAGAGCCAGGAAGGAAGAAGCCAATATTATGACTAAAGACCAGCGATGAAGCAGCATGAAGTAAGCTGGACGACAACCTGGCAAGAATGTTGATAAACAATCTCAAAGGGAATGTAGAGAGCAACATTAATCTCTTTTGCGAAACCATCTACGATGAATGCCTTCAGAGGTTTGGCGAAGAGTAGAAGGGAAAGAGAAATTCAGTGGCTTGTGAAAGAGTGAAGAGCTCTGCAAAAGTCATGGAGAAAGGCGACAGGACATGAGAAGGAAGGTCTCAATGCCCTATGGAGTCAGTTGGCATCACTCAGGAGGGCAGAGCACATTAGAAATCGGAGAAGGATGAAAGAGAACCAGCGCTCAAGATTCCTAAAAGACCCTTTCAAGGTTGCAAGGTACTTGCTTGAAGAGAAGAAGAGTGTATCTTTGGCAATGGAAAAAGAAGACCTTAAGGAGTATATAAGAAAGCAGTTCGCCAACACACGCAGTCAGTACCCCCTCGGTTCTCCTGGTTATGTCCCACAACCAGCTGCTCCAACCACGCCTTTTAAAGTAGCACCACTCAAATTGAGCGAGGTGGTTGAGATAGTTAGAAAGTCAAGGACGAGCTTTGCCCCTGGGAATTCCCCAAGCCAGGTTAAGTTTCATTATTAGACCAACCTACAACACACTTCCTAGCCCAGTTAACCTGGCATGGTGGTTTGAGGCTGAAGAAATCTGCGGCTTGTGCATTCTGTGTGGGTGCAAAACTGCTTTGGCTCAGGGCTGCTACAGGTGGTGTCATGACCAGGTGCTAAGGAAGCTGGCAAAATGCACAGAAAGAGCAAGGCCGATGGCAAACAAGAAGAATCAGAGCCTTAAGAGTCAGCCTATCCAATTTGTAAGAGTAGGTCAGTTAGTGCAGAAATGCCCTCCTGAGCACAAGGCATCAATCCTGGCCAGTGGCATGGACTGGTCATTACGAGCAGACCTGGACAGGTGGCTGCAATTACCAGCTTCTATCACGCAAACCACATTGAGACCGGACCTTGTGGTGTGGTCCGAGATGAGCAAACAGGTGGTGCTAGTGGAACTGACAGTGTCCTGGGAGGAAGCACTACAGGTGGCATATGAGCGGAAAAAGTCATGGTATTCTAACCTGGTAGCGGAGTGCCAGGAAAAAGGATGGAGAGCAACAACTTAACCCAGTGGAGATAGGCTGCCGTGTCTTTGTTGCCCAGTTGACCAGCCACATCCTGAGGGACATCGGCTTCAGCTCTGGTGAGGTCAGGAAGGCCGTAATAGACCTTGCTGAAGAGGCGGAGAAAGGAAGCATTTGGCTATGGCTGAGGAGGAATGATAAGAGCTGGGGTGTGGAGAAGCCTCAAGGCATAAGGACCTGAGATCTAATTCTAGCCACAGGGAGCGTCAGGGAGATGTTCCTGTCCACTTCCCCACCACCCTGAGATGTTCTGGGACTAAAGGGGTGAAACATCGTTGAAAGATGGCTCCCGGCTGATGACCCTGCGGCTGGTAATTTGGCACTGGTAGAGGTGCATCAGGCATTTAGCAGGTCCCAGCAGGTCTTAACCATCTACCTGTTTCTAATCAATTACAAACATGTGGGCCTATATTTAAGTTTGAAGGATCTCAATAGATAAAGTCCAAGTCAAAGTATAGGACAAAGTCCAGACAAAGTAGGGAGGAAGTTTAGATGAAGTCTGTGCATTGAAACACATACAACTAAGATTATTCAATAAACCCTGCACTTAAAAAAAAAAAATCACTTTATCTCCTGCTTTTTGCTCTTTCTTGACTTCCTTGTCAACCTCTGAGGCTGCTTGAAGACTTTCAGTTAATACAGTTTTGGGTACGAGTCAAAATACAGCCTTGATAACTGATTTTGGGTATCAGTCAAAACGGTGTTCATAGTCTTCTGATGGGAAGAGGCTAGGTCCAGTATCCGGTCTTACATTTTTGGCGTAATCAGCAGGATTTCAGCATGATTTAACAAGTTGAAAAGCTGTACTGAATATTCAAGTGTGATCGATCTCTGTCTTTTACAGGTACGCCTGAATCATCGTTCTCATCATTTTTCAGATCAACCTAAATGAAGACTGCAGGTCTATCACTCAGCATTGCAGATAAAATATACAGTATTACTGCACAGATTATAATTCTCAAATCTGAATCTATGAAGGTTCTGTGTGCATGTGATATATGATATGTGAAATATGATATTTGTTAATAAAAACGATGACTTTTCATAGCTATAATCTTTAATTCATTTGTTTTACATTAAATGTACAGTTCACCCAAAAATGTAATTTAGGCTTTAATTTACATATAACATCAACATACATAAAGCACCTCAAATATGGTCAACTGAAGCTCAACCATACTTCCTTTTGAAGCACAAGAACAAACCATGTGAGATATGAGAACACATGAGTGTTCTTGTGCATCAAGCAAGCATGTTTGAGCTTTGGTTTACCATGTTTGATAAGCTTTATGTGCATCATCCTGACATCTCTTGCTTCAATGAACACTTCTAATCCAAATATGCAGATTATGGAAATATGTTTAAGTTTGTTTACATTTTTTTACAAAAAATACATAATAATAATAATAAATAAATAAAGTAAAAACAAAAAAATACTTTCTATACATTGTTAGTTACCTCTAAATCATATAGGATGAAAAGGAACATGTCCTTAAACACTTTCAAAATAAAATGGTTTGGGAGAAAATATCAAGAATATGTTGTTTTACCTACATCCCAAATTAAACACTAGAGTTTAACCAAAGTTGTCAGGACATTCTGTTTTCTGAACCTACTGAATTGCACAAAACAAAATCATTCAAATCTTTCAATAATTGTCAGAGAGCAGTTAGCTGCTGCCCAAAAGTCTATTCTGAGTACTAACAAATTGTTTCTGTATTGGAGGCCATCTAGTAAAAGAGCTGTGCAGGTAAACCTTACTCCCCTGGCCTCAAGAGGCACACTAGCTGAAACTAGAGGCTCTAAACATGGGGGTGTGCGATATGTATGGTCTGCGATCAGGGCCGTTTCTAGCCAATTTGACGCCCTAGGCGAAATCCCTATTGTTTCTTGAAACATTGATTTAAAGTGTCAGTTATTGCATTATTATTTCAGTCAAACCTATAAAACCCCTTTGTTACCGATTTTTTACACGGCACCCCGGTTGGGAAACACTGCTCTAGCCCAATAACGCTGGGGGATCCAGTGGGGGCGGCAGTCATAGTTCAGGGTGACCGTGCCACTCTTTATCACAACCCTGCTAAAAGTGCCAGTACGTGCGCTCACTGGCGCCCCTTCAGCTGGTGGCGCCCTAGGCGACCGCCTAGCTCGCCTATGCCTAGAAACGGCCCTGTCTGCGATAATATATATAATGTCTGCGTTGTTGTTTTAATGTGCGATTTGATATTATGAGTACATCGCGAAAAGCAAACACAAAACACACCTACAGAGTGCGCGCATACATTAGGTGATGAAGTCTAGTAGGTTAGACTAGTGCGCTCTTTCACTGCATGAATCGGTCTATTAAAATGCATTTAGAATGATCACATAATTTAAGATATGGGGCAGAAAATGTTTATATTTAAATAATTTGATATAGTTAATATCACACGAAGAGTGCCGTTTTTTCTCCAGAAGTAAGCATGATTACAAATGTGATATTGATTTTATACAACAGTTCAATAAGCAAGTAGTTCATATTAAGACACTTACGTTTTAGACACCATATTTCCTGTTTTTGCTCTATTTCTCCAACAAAAATAATTTCAAACACAGCAACAGCGCTGTTTTGCGTCTCTGAGCAACATGACCCTGTTTTGTTCCTGAATGAATCAACAGTTTAAATGATTCGGTTCAGTCGCAATCACTCACTTATTAACAGTGACTTGCTGCCACCTACTGGCGGTTTTAATTTCACATTTAAGGTACCTTTTCATTTTTTAAATAATTTCAGACATCAGTTTTCAATGTTTTATGTTTAAAATATCAAAACATTATTTATGCATTTGTAACTGCAGGT